TCCCCTCGGGGAAATAGAGCAGAATATAAATAAATAATAATAATAATAATTATCATTATCATTATTATTATTCTGACATGAAAACACAGTATGACACAGCAAATGAGTTATATATGCTGGATATTGTATCATAAAATCATAAGTCAAACACTTTTTTTTACTACTACTACTTTCCAGTCTGGAAAATTATACATCAGGAAATATCAATCTTCATATGGTGCAAAAATAAAGGTTATCTGTGCTGCTTTTTAAGTTCTTAGAGTGGGAAATGTGTTCCAAATTTAAGCCAATCAACACGCAAAAACAGGCAATTGCTTTATTATCAGGTACAATACCACAGTATTCCATAACATGTTGGAAATGCCTATAGCAGAGAAGTCTTGAGAGTCTATGTACTTCACATGTAAAACCATCATATCAGCCTCATCCCATCTGTCATAACTTTCCCTACACAAAAGCAATATGTCAAAAAATGAAAGCATTTTCCTCTTTTGGAAGCAAGGGACAGTTCTTAATAAATGTTTACACTTGTTTACCAAAAATAAAAATCTATTGAAAGCAATTGGATGAATGTGGTAAATTCTTTCCGTTGATTTCAAAAGCAGAGTCATAATGGTCTTTCATTGGACTGGACTCTTAATCGTTCATTTCCATGTCACAGGATAAGGTGACTGAGATATTATATTTAAATTCTGGCACCAAAGGAAGAACTCGCGTCCAAAAGCCCAGAGCTTTTAAAATTACACTTTTATTATAGATTAATGTTTCCAAGGGAAATAAAGTCAGCTATGTCAACTGGCTGAGAAATATTGTTCATTTAAAGCCAATATATTTTACAAATGCCTTTCTGTTCTGAAAGACAGCATTGAATAGCTCAAAAAGACATTAAAAACAGAACCAGCGAAATCTCAGACCTTTCATATCCATTTGGCTGAAGTTTTCCAGATACCTTCCACAACACCATCAAGAACAGCAGCAAATGTCTGTTAAAAACAACAACTCCTTGTCTGCTCCTCCAAAAATCAATAAAAGATAATTTAAGATTAAAAATAGCAATGGAGAATATATAGTCTGGATATCAGGGTTTCAATGTCTTTTTTTGCTCCTTCCTGCTATCCCTGTGATGCTGATTAGTTGAAAGATATGACTGATTGTTTTAACTTGGAAGAGATTCAAAAATTAAAAAGGACAGACGGTACAGTTTGTACCCCCTCAAACAAATGTTTGCCTGCAAATCGCTTGTTTAACACAGCCTCTCTGCTACAAGTTTGGGTGTACCCACACAAAAACAGCTGAGATGTATCATGAAGTTCCACCATAGCAGAACTAGGAAACATCTTCCCATGTCCTTCCCACATGATTCACCTTCCTTCTGAGACTGTTACCCTGCACCACAGCCATGCTAGGTGGGTGGAAATCTGGGAGGAAGAATAAGAAGTATAGCTAGATGTACTATAGTTAGATGTACAATGATGACTCTGTCTTCCAGGTCTTTCTGAGGACCAGTGGTGGTTGTGGTTGATGCCTTCATTGTTATGCATGTGGCTATACCTTTCTGGAAACACTAGAGCAGTGGTTCTCAACCTGTGGGTCCCCAGGTGTTTTGGCCTACAACTCCCAGAAATCCCAACCAGTTTACCAGCTGTTAGGATTTCTGGGAGTTGAAGGCCAAAACACCTGGGGACCCACAGGTTGAGAACCACTGCACTAGAGTATCCTTTGGTTTGGGGCAATCTGAATAGCAGGATTGAATCTGATCCATTGCCCAGATTAGACTTTGCTGCTATCGCCCTTTCCCTGCACTCATCAGCACAGTGCCACCCAGAGCTGACCCTGCTTAGCTACCAGGAACTGATAAAATCTGGTGCATTTAGCGTCTTTAGCAGTAGTTTGATGAGCACAGCCTAGTGCTTTCAAAATTGTCAGAGTATCTTAATACGTGTGCATTGTTCCCAGAAATCTTCATTTCAGCTCTTTGGCAGCTGTGTTGAAAGGAGTTAATGTAACACAATTCCATTTTGACAGGATTCCCAGTGACAGATGGTAGCAAAGCTCAAAGAGTCTTGATTGCTCAGTGTAGATTTATTTTCTCTTCCTTGAAAGATTGACAGTAATTTCTAACTTTTGTCATGTTCTTCTCACTAGTTAGACGACTCCGATTTCTTATACTTTGCTTGTTCATGTTTCCTGCTAGAGAGCCTTGTAAGCCTTTAGCTGGAGGGCCCTGTTCCTCTACTGAGTGTATGAAAACATTGGTCAGGTACAAACAGACCTTGGATCATGTAATTGAGTACACTTCTGCACCATGGAAATAATGTAGTTTGACAACACTTAAATTACCATGGCTCACCTCTTAAATTACCATAGGAGTTGTAGTTTGATGAGGCACCAGAATTCTTTGGCAGAAAAAACTGAAGACCTTGTGAAACCATACATCCCATGATTTCAAAGCATTGAGTCATGGCATTTAAAGTGATATTAAACTGCATTAATTTTACAGTGTAGATGCACCCTCAGAGTCAGTTATGACTTCATTGACCACTCCACATCTGGAGGTGCATTGCTGCAGCTACAAACCATCCCTGCTTGCACATTCATGAGCAACCTTATCCTGGTAGGATTGCCATGGGTTGGGAACTGTGTTGAAAAGCAGATGCCTGTCTGGAAAGAAAGGGTGGCAATCATATTTTAACATTGCAGTAGTCGGATATGTTGGGATTTAAACCCAGACAGGGATGTAATTATTCACTAACATTCTTCTCAAAGGTAGCAATGGATAAATTCAGGAATTGTTTCCCTGCTGTGAGAAATTCTTCTAAAACGCTGCCATTTTGAATGCTATTCACAATTGCGGACTGTGCAAAATTCACATATGGCTGTTTTGTGCAGCAGACAGCAATTTCTGTATAAGGAACAGCATAGTATGCATATAAAATAGTATTTCAATAAATATTTATTCTTGCAAAGCAAATGCAATTTTATGTGCAGAAATGAATACTTCTGTGTTGAAATATTTTCTATGACACATACAGATCTGTACCCATGTCCTTACCATCACCCTCCTCAAAATAGTGACTTGACCATCACTCTCTCTCTTACACACATTTGTTTGTGTACAGCTGCATATTTCTAATGCATATAAACCCAAAAATGTCATGTGCACTCATGCATCTTCAGTCTGTATCAATATTTCAATAAGGAGTTGACCACCACTGCAGTCATTTTGTTGTTTCTCGATGTTGTTGAACATCGAGAAAACCAAAATGCTCTTTACCAGCCAATCCCTCTGCAATGCCAGAAATACAGCTTAATGGTGTAACATTAGAAAATGTTGACAATTTCCACTACCTTGGCAGCCATCTCTCCATAAAAGTCAACATTGACACTGAATTACAACACTTCCTGAGCTCTGCGAGTGCAGCATTTTTCCGAATGAAGAAGAGTGTTTGAGGATTGGGACAGCCATAGAGATAACAAGGTGCTTGTTTATAAAGCTATTGTCCTCCCAACCCTGCTATACACCTGTAAAACATGAACTGTTTACAAATGTCACACTCAACTCCTGGAACGATTCCATCAGTGTTGCCTTCAAAAAAATCTTGCAAATCTCTTAGGAAGATAGGTGGATAAATGTTAGCATGCTGGAAGAAGCACAGACCACCAGAATTGAAGTGATGCTCCTATGCTATCAACTGGCTATGTTGTCCGAATGCCCAGTTGCCATTTCCCTATACTCCCAACTCAAGAATGGAAAATGTAATGTTGGTGGTCAGGGAAAGAGATTTAAAGATGGACTTAAAACCAACCTTAAAAACTGTGGCATAGACATTGAGAACTGGGAAGCCCTGGCCCTTAGAGCTCTAGCTGGAGGTAAGCTGTGACCAGCAGTGATGCAGAATTTGAAGAGGCACGAATAGAGGGCGAAAGGGAGAAATGCATGAAAAGGAAGGTGCATCAAGCCTACCCTGACTGGGACTGCCTTCCACCTGGAAACTGATGTCCTTACTGCGTAAGAACATGCAGATCAAGAATAGGTCACCATAGCCATCTACGTATCCACCGCCAAGACACTGCACTTGGAGGGCGATCATAATGAGGGATCACCTAAGTAAGTCAGTAAATAAGGTACAGAATCTCTTTGTAGAGCTATCACACACCAAAAAGGGTTTTCTTTCCATTAAAATCTAGAGACAGGTGGGCACATCTGGCTAGCTTTTGGGTTCATATGGGAGGTTTTTTTTAAAAACATGGGAACCTTCCCTTAATGCAGTGCTTCTCAACCTGTGGGTCCCCAGATGTTTTGGCCTTCAACTCCCAGAAATCCTAACAGCTGGTCAAGTGGCTGGGATTTCTGGGAGTTGTGGGCCAAAACACCTGGGGACCCACAGGTTGAGAACCATTGCCTTAATGTATGGATTTGGAAAGACATCTCTGCTCTGCATTTCCAAAGACATTTCCAACCCATCAATGGCATCTGTCCTTGACACCCTTACCAGCCCCCCTTCCTCTCTGCTACTTCACCTTCATTTGAGGTAGAAGCAAATGGCATGATGCACACATTTCTGTCTTTATGAAGGTTCATACGTCAATATACAGGATTCTTTGGTCACATCATTCAATATAGAAAAAGGTTTCCAATCTCAAAAATAACATCCCTTATAATAAGGGACACCAGCCAATCCTGTCAGTCAAGTCCGAGTTTTCTTTTTACAGAAACCATCAATCATAATGAAATCAGATGCCAGAACAACCTGCAATGTTGATATATTTCAGCATCATTCTCAAAGACCACCCATGGGTTACTAATCTTTGTAATCTACACATATCATTGACAAATATATCTTTTTGTATGATCCGTGAGGATGCCAGTATTCAACACATCAACACTAATAAGAGGTGAGCTGATGTGAGCTGTGTCTCTCCTCATCTGAGGCCTGTTTTGAGCCCCAGTTCACTTTAAGTTAGGAATAAATGCACCAATTATGGACTCAACAAGAAAGCAAAATCTCTGTGAAAAGAGTAATTATTACAAATTCTGTCCAACTTTGCAAAGTTTACAGACATGACACTTTCCAGCCAAGTATATATTTCCTTTTTGGTACAATCTGTTTGCAGCTGGGTGATTGGTTATTGTAACATTTGTGTAATGCATTAGGAAAACCACAGCTGAAAAGCAACATAAGAAATAAACAAGGCAAATGCCGTGGATTCCATCAACCCATTGTAGAGCTTCCATTAGCTGAGTGCTTGAAGATGTCCTACCAAAATGTAGGTATTATAATTGTCCAGGGAAATAAGACACAATGGAAGCATTGTCACTCATTCTTTTAAAATTACGATGCATGAGAATATAGTGTTTCAAAAGATCTAAAGTCTATAGTATGCCATCCACAGATTGTCAGCAAGATATATAAGCATTCTAAAAGCTTAGAGACTGACTATTGGCAAACAGGTCATTTATCAATGGCCAACTTCACTACAATGAGCATATAGACACCTGCTAAGCTGGTTGCCAGGCTGAAGTGTTCTACTAAGTACAGTGGAGAACACATCCAGAATCCTGGTAGTGTCTTTAGATTTGTCTTAAGTTTCCCCTATGCACATGGTTGTAGATTTTTAAAGCCATTGTGCAATTCTGATGTTCAGAGTATAATCAAGAAAATTAGTATAATGTGGATACACATTTTTGGCAACTGTGTAACTGTTGAAGGTTTTCATGGCTGAAGTCACTGGTTGTTGTGCATTTTGCGGGCTGTATGGCCATGCTCGAGAAACATTCTCTCCTGATGTTTTGCTTGCATCTATGGGCAGGCATCCTCAGAGGTTGTGAGGCCTGATCCCACAGGATGCCTGGCCATAGATGCAGGTGAAATGTCAGGAGAGAATGCTTCTCGAACATGGCCATAGGTAAAGGTAAAGATTTTCCTCTGACATTAAGTCCAGTCGTGTCCAACTCTGGGGGTTGGCGCTCACCTCCATTTCTAAGCCGAAGAGCCGGCATAGCCATGTAGCTGGCATGACTATAGCCCAGAAAACTCACAACAACCCAACTGTGTAACTCTTGTCATTGGGATGATCTGGTGCTGTCATTGGCCTATTTTTGAGGAGTTGTTTGGCTTTGTAAAAATTCTGGATGTCGTTGCAATGGTAACATGACAATATCTGATGAAGGTAGATATGCATGCAGTTATTTAGCATCACCATTCTCTATAAGAGTGATGTAATGGAACCACTAGGTAGAGCTTTCCCATATGTCACCTCAATCTGGTCATTAAGTTCCCAGATCTTTGCTTTCTTGGGTTTCCAGTTAAGTCTGAAAGTGTGACAGATTATACTCATCAATTGTCTGGATGTTATAGATGAATCATTTGTGAATGATTTCAGGGGTATTATGGTACATAGTTGATGGTAAAAGTAATAATCATTGGTAAAAAGTTACCTATAGTAATACAATCAAAATGAAGAGTAACCTATTATCCAATGAAAAATCATCATATAATCAAGGTTGGTGAACATGCTGGGTAGGTAAAGGAGTAACCTATAGGACACATTCCAATACATTCCTCATTCTCTAAGTTAAGTGTGTTTTAAAAAAGAGAATATGATTTGGCTGTGAACTAAACTGGAGTGGAGCAACTACCCTCATTGTAAAGCTTGCATTACTTGCCATAACTTCAGGAAGAATAATGTGATAGTTTAAAAGAGAGTGCAGAAAACATGGAGCGTATTGTTTACTAACTGCAGTCAAGAGCTTGGAAAAGTTATTTTTTGGGCAATACAGCTCTGAGAAAACCCTAGCTAACATGGCCAGCAGCCATGCTGTATGAGGGATTCAGGTAGCTGTAGTCCCACAAAGCAAATTTTCAAAGCTCTTTTATAATCTGACCATGTGATCTCTTTTCACCCAAGTTTAACCTATCTCTACAATAAATGTCGAAACACACACACATATATTATTTAACTGCTGATTTTGGTGAGCATCTTGTTGATTGCTTGTTTGACATGAGTGGTTGAGCTCCTTCTTCTGGTCTTTCCTTGGACCATCTTCCGTCGCCGTACTTCCCGGCATAACTCATAAAAGGCCTCCATGATGTTGCCTTCTCCTGTACAAGCAGAGCATTCATAAAATGCACATGCTAGTTCTGTGGCCAGCTTCTCCCCTTCTTCTGTGCTGACCTGCCTTGAGTGGTCCAGGTCTGCTTTGTTTCCAACTAGGATCAAAGTCACGTTTTTTGGCTTTTTGACTTCATCCAGCAAGTTCTTAAGTGGCAGGACCTCTTCAAAGCTTCCTCTGTCAGTGATGTCATATACTAGCACAAAGCCCTCTCCCCATCGTACGTGCCCTTCCTTCTGAATGACGTCTTCCTGTTGGAAAGGAGAAATGAAGGAAAGTTGAATTTGAAAGCAAAAGAGACAAATATAAGACATTTGGTACCTGGGATAACAAAGACTGCTAGGTTGATTTAACAGCTCTGTTATAGAGTCTGCCTATGATCCATTAAAGTGTCAGAAACTTCTCCAGGGCCAGGTACTTAAAAATGCAAGTGCTGAACATAGCAGCAGGAGTAAAGCATAATTCTACATTCTTGTGTGACAAGTACTTCAATAGCTTTATGGTGCTTTCCAACATGATCCGTGAAGGCATGGCTGAATAAACAAGAAAAGAAACATCAGAGGGCTGGTACAATTGAGAACTCAGGAACTTGTTCTTTCTTGATATCTGCACCATTTACAACACTCTAATTTACCACCATGTTATCTAATGATCGGAATCCTCCTGTTAAGCCAGGGATCAGAGAAAAGTTGTCTTTTGAGATATAGCTACATCTAGTATAGCCAGTGGTAGTGGACTATGGGGATGGTGGCCCAAAATCTCTGCAGGGCAAAAGGTTCTCCATTTTTTCTTTGCTATGACCTGGTTTATGATGGTAGAATATAAGCCACCTCATTGATACACACACACACACACACACACATGCTTGTGTGTGTATGTGTGTGAAATTAGTTTGCTCAAATTGAGTTTGGAGAGCATGTAGCAAGAGTTAAAAACAGAAAGGAAGCCAAAATGATAAATTGATTAGATTTTTGGCCTTACATTTTGGAGATCAGTTCAAAAACATGCAAATGTGAGTAGATCAATAAGTACTGCTCCGGCAGGAAGGTAACGGCATTCCATGCAGTCATGCTGGCCACATGACCTTGGAGGTGTCTACAGACAATGCCGACTCTTCAGCTTAGAAATGGAGATGAGCACCACACCCCACAACTGGACTTCATGTCAGGGGAAAATTGTTGCCTTTACTTTGGAGATCCAGGTTCAAATTTCTACTGTCCTAATACAAAGAATATTAAATTCTTTGCATCCTTAATGAAAAGGACATACCGAGACACTATCAAATAAATGGTCAACCCCTGTCAAAGCCTTTTTAGCTGGAGAACCCTGTTTCTGTACTTTGTTGCTGCTTTTCTAGACCTGACTGATGGGAGATCTATATCCGGAGGTTCCTAGTAAATATTTTTCATTTAAAGTGGTTGAACCCTACCAAATGGGACCAATTTGTGTTGGGGACAATTCACCCCATATGACTTTTCATATATCAAATGTTCCCTTGTGTATTTATTAAGTATAATTTTAAACCTCTTTTCATAAAATAATATTTAAGAACAGTAGAGCGATAGAATAACAATACACACGGATACATGCAAAATGATAAAACCTAAAAGAAAAAAACTAAGAAAAAAGGTAAAACCAAATCCTAACCAAAGAAGTCTTACTGCTGCAAGTAACTAGATGACACCTCTATACTTCTTTTTGAAGGCAATCAACAGTTTCAGAGGATGATAACCACAGATCAATTTGGTCATTCCTTACTCTTGTTTTCTACTATTGTAATTTGGCTGTGATAAAGCTAGCCTTCTTGAACTTTCACGCTCAATCAAGGCTGGCCCAAGATATTTGGCATGATAGGGTGAAGCTGGTGCTCTCCCTCCACTTCTATCTAGAGAAGAACCTTATGAATTAAGGAAGACATCTGCTCCCTCACCTGTGGATAGCAGGCCAGTTTACAGAACTTGCCAATAGGCAGTTGCAAGTCTATCACCTTCATCCTGCACCATACATTGGCTGAGGCAATTACTTTATCTTGCCTAAGGGCTGGGCTAGATCTAGACAAGCTGACTTCCTAGGAGTCTCTCCTAGGGCAGGAAGCAACCATTGTTGGTCTTTTCCTTTGTAGCTACTGTCACTCCTAAATACTCTTTGTGCTCCTCTGAGAAAAGCAATCAAATAATCAGGGGATCAAAAGGGACTCCTTTCCCTCTATTTTCTTCCAATTGTCCTACTGAGTTGGGATTGCTCCATTTTTTTTCCTGTTCCGCTTTTGCCTTTAAAATAGCTCATTGCTTTCCCTGATGTTAATTTCTTTTTCCCGGTGCCAGAGTTTTTCTGTGACAACCAGCAGTTCTTGCTTACCTGCCCAGCTGTATCTAGTATTTCCATGGAAATGACTTCATCATCAATGGTGGCTTGATGACGATAAGTGGATTCTTAAGAAAGAAACACAAACAAGAAGCACTAAGTTAAATAAAACATCTTTCTGCTTGTCTTACCAACTTGGAACCATTTTCTTCTGTAGTCAAAAAATCTGTCTTTTGTGTTATATCTATATTATCAAGTATTTATTTATCTATCTGTTCTACTATATACATAAAAATGCTTGAGGACAGTGTCACCAAACTTGGTATGTCAGTTAATAAGTCAATACAGATTTGGACTTGATCCATCAACTAACTATTCTGGGCACACCAGGAACAAACATTTTGGCTTTCTGTATTTGTTATTGTTGTTTATTCAAACAGTTGCTTCTGACTCTTCATGACCTCATGGACCAGCCCACGCCACAGCTCCCTGTTGGCAGGGCCACCCCTCAGTTCCTTCAGAAGCAAACCAGTCACTTCAAGGATAACATCTATCCATCTTGCCCTTGGTTGGCCCCTCTCTCTTTTTCCTTCCTTTTGCTCCAGTTTTCTCCAAGCATTCCTGTCTTCTCACTTCTAATATCCTTCCCTCCAATGAGCAGTCAGGCTTTATTTCCTGAAGTATAGACTGGTTGGATCTTCTCGTGGTCCAAGGCAGACTTTTTTGTTTTAGATTATATATTTTAAACTGATTTTGATGAAATGTAAATATTTAGACTCAGGTTGATTTTCTAAATATTTATGTGCTAATTTGGGGCCAACCAACTGACTTTGCTTTTCTCATGCCTATACAAAGACAAATATGATTTTAGAGCAACAATTACAACACTACAAATTTCATCACCTGGCCTCTTTAAGTGTACTATACTAAATAGTAGATTCAACCTTATAGTTGTGTGCTCGCTATGGAATTAAACTGACCAGAGCATCATTCAGGAGAACTTGGTGTGCATAATTTTGTCTGTAATTCATAATTTGTATGTTTGAGGTATGTGGGCCTGTTTGCCATTAAGAAACCACTCTTTAGCCATGTCTGTTCATTCCCTTTAAGTCTATTTTATTTTGTAAAATTAGAACTTTTCCACTTGAAGACTTTGTTAAGGTCTAAATCAGTTTTGGAAGTTCTCTACAAATAATTGGAAGCTCTTCATAAGGAAGCATAGAGGAAAATCTGTTTATAGAAACTTTTGTTGGAAATTTCCTTCTACAAGAAAGAAAAAGAAACAATTATTTTAAATAGGAAATCTGTTTAAAGAAACTTTTGTTGGAAATTCCCTCTTAGAAGAAAGATATAGTAACTAGTACTATAGTATTCCACTGAGGAATATGACCATCTAGGGTCTTGTGATAGGGTTCATAGGGCTCCCTAGTCTTCCACAGTTGCCTCCTTGCCCTGTTTGATCTAGGACAGCCCTTCTTATAATGCCTTCTGTCCAGAAGCTGTTGGTAAATTAACTGCAGCCAGGAAGAAGTCACTTTACAGTGCCTCCAATGAGTTGTTACAGAGCTCTTCTTGTGGAAGTTCTTTATCCCAATGGATCCTTGGCATTGGGAAAGCTCTCATCCAACTTAGTAGGAGCAGCAGTAAAACTGAGAGAGGATTTGCTTCGACAAAAGATTCATTGCCCACTCCTTGAGTCTGACCCCTTTACTTAGGATGAGCAAGAGTGCCCTTTTGAATAGCAGCAATGAAAGAGAGAGCTCCTTTTTGTTAATAGGATTTGTGGCTAGTTCAAGGGACAAGGAATTAATTCTGCATGCAGCCTGTTCAGGTTCATTCCTATGACAAATTGCTCAGACCCTTTTAGGTAATGAGGAAAATGGAATTTCTGCACCTTTTGAGGAAAGATGACTCAGTATTTTACATACCAAAAATAGATGATCACGTTGCATGCATTGATGCAGGGAGTAACCTCTAATTTTCAAAAGTAAATACAGGTTGAATATCTCTTATCCAGAATTCCAGGTAAGGTGGGAGGCTGATGGTTCAATGTACAAAAACGTTGTTTTAGGTACAAAACTATTCAACGTATTGTATAAACCTCCCTTCAAGATATGTGTATAAAGTATAATATAAGGGGGGGGGGGGAGGCAGGAAGCGAGAGCCAGGTTTTGTGTTTAGACTTGAATCCCATCTGTGATCTATCTCATTATGGATGTATATGGAAAAATCGCAAATCCAAAACACTTTTGGCCCCAAGCATTTTGGATGAGGGAAACTCAACTATACCATCTTCAAGTAAATTATTTTTGCTGTTGCTATAGCAGCTGTTTGTCATCATCCTTTCCAAATATTATATCCACTTGCCCAAAGGAGAGAATATTCAAGTCACTTAACATCATACAAATTTAATACACCTTCTGTTGCCACCCTGTGCCCAGGCTTCTCTCCTCAGGCAGGAGGAATTGGGGTAGCATATGTATCACAGAAATCAGCTTTCATAATAGCCCTGAAGAGATGCTGATGGTAGCTTCTTGCCTTCTGTATCAGAATGGAAATAAATGAGCATAGCCTTGGGCTTTTTAAGAGCCGGGTCTATAAAGACAGATTCCAGGATGCATTCCAAAGGGACAGAACAGAATGCCGCAAAGAAGCCTGAAGGAAAGGAGAGGTGCTGGTGAATTGAACTTTGGCTTTTAAAAAATAACAACACTGGAAACTTCCATGTGGCAGAAAGAGAACTGGATCTATTCTGTAGATTTCACTGTGCTTGCCCCATCTTCCACCTCCCTTTAGGCAATGGACTTACCACAATAAACTGTGCCAGAGATATTCCTATAAAACTTAGAGACACTCTGGTATTATTTTGTCTAAGGGAGCCAGTGTAGTATAATGGTTTGAGCATTGAATTGTAACCCTGGATGACCAGGGTGCAAATCACTGATTTGCTTGGAAACCAACTGGGTGAACATGAGCAAGCCACATTCTCTCAGCTTCAGAGTACAGCTGAAGCATTTTCTGCACAGTCCACTGTAAAGACTACATTTGTAGCTAATGGATTTGGGCAAATGTCTACATGGCATTCAGAAACCTTTCATTTTTTTCCTTTTTTTCTTCAACCCCAACAATGAGCTAAAGGGGGATCCCATTTGAGGTCGAGACCCACAGTTTAAGAAGCAGCATCTCAGAGGACCTCTTTTAGGGGGTGAGAACCTCTCATAATATAAAGCCATCACTGGGCTGTACCCATTGATGTGGCTGGGGAAGAGATCCAGCATCGTGCAGAGTTTCTACGTGCAAGAACTGCTAATTGTTTATTTTCCAGCGTTCTTATTAACTCCATGGCACAAATCAACCCAGGGGAGTTTTTTTCTTTTCTTCTCATTCTGCTTCCTCCTTTTCTTCTTGCAGCTTTTCCCTTCATAAGAACTATATACATCTGGCAATTTGGAAGTAAATTAGTTTGGGAGTAGAAAGGACAATGCACGGCTGCGCTAGTTCTTCTGCCTGTTTTTTTACACAAAGGCAGAGCTAAACAAAACTATTGTCTTGGGCATGGATCTAAATATTTAAAGTGTGAGTTTTACATATCTCAAAATATTGGCTTTTTTGAACCAGCTGGGGGAAAAGAATGTGATATAAGAGAGAGCCAGATTCATGTCATCAGAATAGCAACTGTGGGAGAAGGTCCAAAGCAATTGGATTGTCAAATGTCTAGCATTGTGTTTACTTATTACGTCTGTCATTCCATATCGTACATTTGTACCCTTGAGTTGCAGTTCTTTAATAGCTTTGTATTCATTATAATACATATTCACAACAGTGGCACTGTTAGCATGGTTGATAATAATCCTGCTCCCCCCCCCCCCCCCCCGCAAAAAAAAAACTTCCCGAAAAGCTCGCAGATGCAGCAAGCAACAGAGATCTGTACAGCTGGGCAACCAGGGCACAAGGGGTGACATTTCCAGCCACATCCCGCCAGCAAATGAGGTTGCAATGTCAGAAGCAGAGCCCCTGTCCCATGTTCTTATAATACTTGATTCAGCAGTGCAAGTGGGGTAGAAGTGTCATTCTCCTTCTGCCTCGATTGGAAGCCCAATTGTTGTCCCAACAACTTATAGAAGGTACAACACACAGTAATATACAATGAAACATAAGTTTGTTATATGATCCAAAGTAGGGATAGAATGAATATGCAAAATATATCAAAAATGGTAGAATACAGATTTCTCATGTATCAGAATATCCCGATGGGGGTTTTCTTGATTGGTAAGTATCTTCACAGTTTAGGACTTATCCTGCCCTCATTTTGGAAGGATCACTTTTGTGCAGTTTCTTGAAGACAACAGAATTGTGAACTCTCTGTGAAAATGTGCAGTTTCTGACTGCTTTCTGATAGCAAGGAAAACATTGCAAAATGATTAATTCTTGCCTTCAAGCATTTAAGCTCTATATGCTTAAATTTCCCAGCAAAGGAAAACAGAGACTTGTTGTGTCTGATGCTGGACAAAACGTGTATCCATTCACGGTGATTAGAGACAACCATTACCTTTGTCTTCCATGGATTTGCCTGATTTTTTAAATAAAGCTGTTCCTGTTGATGATCTTTTTGCAAACTGATTTTGTAAGTGAGATTTACTATTACAGCTATGTAATCTAAAGTGCTTTATGTGGCATGCACTTTGTAATGATTCTTACCTAATAGGCCTAAAGAAAAGCCTGGGATATCAGTGAGGTAGGCCTCCATTTTAGGAGTGTAAGCATAGGAAGCTGACATCTTGGGAGTGTAAAGTAAGAAGAGGGGAGGAGCTGGAGATCTCTTAGGATTGGTTAGGACAGATGGGAGGAGCTAAATCCTGAGAGGGAAAAAGTGTCAGCTTCACAGAGAGCAAGGAGATTGAATTTGGGAACATAAGAGAGGAGAGGTATTTTTGAGCTTAGGATTTTTCTGACAGAGAGCGTTTGTGACAGGCAAGGCTGCATTATTGGCCAGGACGGTCAAATAGTTGCCTGGGTGCTTGTGTGGGTTTACACAAGTGGTTTGCTCTCTGGATAGAGTGGATTAGCTATATAGAGAACTCTGCTTAGAGTGGGCTAATTGCTCTGAAGACAGCCTGAGTAGGTTAGTCTGGGGAACTCACTGCTACTGTGTTACTGTAGAGTGAGGAGTTTTGGTAGTGATTAAGTCAAGAAACCTGTTTAAAGAAACCATCAAGAATACTGTACTTTAGTAACCATTTAAGCTTTTGTGCTTCATCGAAGAAGTAAGTTCTTTGTTTGATCTTATCAATAAATATTTCAACTTTTAAAGAAGCCTCAGTAATAATTAATTCCTGTGGGAATAATTCTAGTTGCTTTAACATAATAACATCACAGTCATCTCTGGGAGCTAAGGGGGAGCTGGGTGGCAGGAAGAAGTTTACCTCAGTGAATCATCTTTAATATCCTAAGTTATCTTAGGTGGTGGCAGCAAAGCTACCAGAGTTCACACGTTACCTCATCTACATATAATAACTCCGTGTCAGGATCTGTATTCTTTATACACTTCTTTATGATCCTTCATGGATCATGAAGAGCATGCCACATAAAGCACCTTCTTCATGGAATAGAATTGGATTGCATACCTTCCAGTTTTTCACACATGAAAACCTAGATGCGTAAGGTCAAACAACACTGGATTGTGGTGAAAATGGAAAATATGACTCTGCTCCTCTTCTCCTCTCCTCTCCTCTCCCAGCTCTACTTCAGCATTTTCAACTTAGTTTACAGCAACTGAAGTAAGAAGAGCACAAATGGGGAAAGTGGAGGAGGAGAGAGAAAGTGGGATATTTTAAATGAAGCTGAGAAAGCAGGACAGCAGAGGATTAATTAGAGATTGTCTGACTAACTGTGTCAGAACCTTGCGATATGTATTAACAACGTGCTTTGAGTTGAACTCCACAGACACTAATAGAATGGGTTTCAGTTGCTAATCTTGTACAAGCACAAACTCTGCATTCACAAGATCCCAGGTTCAATCTAACATCTGAAGAAAGGCAAGGAAACAATCACTGCAGGAAATTTTGGGAGATAGTAAAGGATCGCTGCATTAGATGGATCAATGATCTGAGACAGCTTAATACACCTTCCTTGATACCAGTGGTTGAAAATATTACCTTTGGGCTACAACTCCCAGAATCCCCAGCCAACATTACCTTTGCCAAGCTTTGGGTTCAACACAAAATATTTTTTTTTTGCTTTTTTGAGGAAATTATTCTAAGTTGGTCCATAAGTTACACATAGCCCAGCTACGTTTTTTAAAACCTGCCTTTTAACCCCAATGATTTTAGAAAGAAATAAAATGTCCAATTTTATCAGTGCCACTGAGAACCCAAACACATTTGTGAAGACCTCAAATAAAGTGTATTCTATGGATCTTGTTGTTTACAATAATATTGTATCACTGCTGTGTAAAAAAAAGCCACGGGCACAAGAGAAACATTTAAAAAGCAAAGGTTATAAGTGGTAGAAAAAAACTATAAAATGAATAGCTTTGTTTGCAAGAAAGATTTTTCCTTGCGTTAATGTTGGCTTATTTTTAGTAAATTTGGCAGTCATCTGTATGTTCTTTAAATTGTACTTGCTTTAAAGAATATGTGACTTCAGAACGGCATGACAGAATCAAAAGAAACTGCCAGAAAAAGCATGAAACAAATTCTGACTTTGCTTGATGCTCTGCAGCACTATTTATTTTGAGGCAGACCACGGCCGCAGAGCCAAATCCTTTGGTTTTCAGAGGAGTTTGGAGAATCTGAATCATCATGAAGAGCCAGGAGTTCTCACAAAGCTGAACCCCCTCCCCAAGAATGCTTGATGAATTGATACTTCAAATTCAGCTCTAATTGCCTTGCTGGAGGTTGAGTCGGATGAAGGTTATATTGGCTAGTGTATTGGCAGGCAAGAGTTCTTTAACAGCATTGGTTTGGCTCATCTGCCAAAATACATTACATTCGTTCATTACATTGAAGGAAAGGCATCACAAGTGTGGTGACCCTTGGGTGGGAATATTATGTACATTTTTAAAAAGATGTTGCCATAGCCAACTCAAAATCTGTGTCAACAAAAGCCAAGTTCTTCTACATTCACCACATTATAAATGCAGTCATATGTTGTTTGATTTATGATTTTGTTTATGTATGTAAGGCACTGGATTTTGCCATTATTTTTTGTAAACCTCTTTGAGACCCCCAAGGGATGAGAAAAGCGATATATAAATACTGTAAATAAATAAATATAAACACAGATGTCAACACAAAAATATGATGAAGAAAATGTCTCCCCAAATTCCCTATTCCATAAGCAGATGGCAACTCTGATTTTGGGGGTAGTCTGGAAATGTTGGGTGTGTGGATCATGAGGACCTCTGTTTTAGGTTTTTCCCCATGTTATCTCCTACCCTATGCATGGGCTACTTTTGGCCACAGCTTGAAAAAAAAACTTTTTTGAGCTCTGATCAAAAATACCCCAGTGGGAATAGTGAATTCAGATCAGGTTTTTGTACAAACATTGAAGGGAACTATCCAAAGTGCTAGACCAATTTGGAGCTAGACGGCAGAACTGAGGAGGCTCCTTTAAGGTATGGAAGTCACCACGTGATAATATTTTTGGACTACCATAAGTCCAACAGATGGGGGAAATGGAAGGAAAAAGGGAGAGGGGCCGACCAAGGGCAAGATTGATAGATGGTATCCTTTAAGGTATGGAGGCTCCTTGAAGGTATGGAAGTCACCATGTGATGATATTTTTGGACTACCATAAGTCCAACAGATGGGGAAAATGGAAGGAAAAATGGAGAGGGGCCGACCAAGAGCAAGATGGATAGATAGTATCCTTGAAGTGACTGGCTTGACTTTGAAGGAACTGGGGGTGGCCACAGCCAACAGGGAGCTCTGGCGTGGGCTGGTCCATGAGGTCACGAAGAGTCGGAAGCAACTGAATGAATAAACAACAACAACAAGTCCAACAGAACCTTTTGGATCATAACTGCCAGACCTGAAGTTTTTGAAGCACATCTCTCAGAATGAACCAACTTGCTTTCCTGCCTGGGAGATTACCGGCCTTAAAATGCATTTTTTTCAGCTTATGATCCTCTGGATGTTGCTGCACAGCACCCCACATCAGTTCTGTCTAGGGGAGCCTCTGTTGAAGGGTAATGGACATTACAATGTAATGTGCCAATACCTGCGTTACTCATAAGTATAGAGAAATATTAGGACCTTCTTAATGCAAAGTGTGTACAGTACTATTGGGTACTACTACTACTATTACTACTAATAGCCCAGTTTAGCACTATACACTTTCTTCCTAGCATAGCCTAAAGTGTTCAGAAGAACGTCCTAACTGTGGGAGCTGTTCAGCAGTGGAACTCTCTGCCCCAGAGTGTGGTGGAGACTCCTTCTTTGGAAGTTTTTAAACAGAGGCTGAATGGCCATCTGTCAGGGGAGCTTTGAATGCAATTTTCCTGCTTCTTGGCAGGGGGTTGGACTGGATGGCCAATGAGGTCTCTTCCAACTCTATGATTCTATTCCATTATTAGAGGCAACAGAAAATAACTCACCAAGTGTAGGGTCATATTCCCATATGAACCGTTTGGTCAGAAAACGCACAACAAGAGCTACGGAAAACAAAGAGAAAAATAATCAGGTTAAAGGAGCGAACATAATGCCTAATTTTATTTAGAAAAGTATTTTGGCACTTTCTCTAGTTACACAGTATTTCAGGTTAGAACCTATGGTGACCTGGATGTTGCTAAACTGCAACAACCATAATCCCACCAATAAATAGGCTTCCTAAACTTCAGAAAAAGGTCATGCCTTATAATAATGGACACCTGGCAACTTTAAGATGTAAAGAATTTTCTGTGCTGACAACTAGAAATTTGGGCACAGTTCTTGAAAGGCATATCTATAATACCATGCCTCTCTCTATTGTATGAAACAACCCCCCCCCCAAAAAAAAACCAAACAAATCAAAAGCAAAATGTAAAGCACACAGTATCTAGAATTTTTAAATTAGGAAACGCACATTCAAAATATTACCGAGAAAGGCAAATGGTTGTAAACACTCCAACTCTATCATCTCACAATATTTTATAACATTGCTGCATTTAGATCACATTGTTCTTTGAAGGAGCTCAAGGCAAAACATGTGTTCTCCCCAATTTCTCCTCATTACGATCTCTTGTGAGCTCTGGCTTAGTCAGAGCTTGTAAAAATTACTTTTTTGGAGCACAACTCTCAAAATCACACAGTTACCCTGGCCACTGGCCAAAATTGCTGGGAGATTCTGGGAGATATATGCTGCAAAAATACTGTTCACAAGCTCTACTTTGGAAAGAGAAATATCTGTTGGACACAACGCAGAAGACGTTATTGTGGTCCTGCCACTCTTCAAATGTCTCTTACTAAACTAGAGACCTTCTCCAGATGTTTTGGTCTTCAAAAGATTCAAAGGTCATTGACAAAATAACAGCTTACCTTCTGCTCACATCTGTTGCAGAGTGTTAAATAAAGGAACCCATTCTAAAGGACCACAACAAAGCTTACAACAGGGCTGGACAAAATGTGGTCTATCAGGATAAAAAACATTCAAAAGTATATATATATATTTAAAAAAAACCCTCTGGCCCTCACATGCCCTCTAGGACAGTTCTCAACCTGTGGCTCCCCAGATGTTTTGGCCTTCAAGTCCCAGAAATCCTAACAGCTGGTAAACTGGCTGGGACTTCCAGGAGTTGTAGGCCAAAACACCTGGGGACCCACAGGTTGAGAACCACTGCTCTAGGAGATAAATGGGTCATTTTTGGCATGTCCCCCTGCCTCCAGGATATGTTAGGTTCTGGAAAAGCCTTTTTTAAAAACAAGAAGTGGACAGAATGTGACTTATGTTGCTGAGAAACCCCATCTTCCTAACATGTCACCCGAATGGTAAAAATGCACTGAGTCCCTTAGAGAACGTTTGAGAGAAAATGTCTCTTGACTTTCAAGATCTGTGTAAAATGGGCCACTGCTGGGATAACTGCTACTACCACCATCAACTTTAACATGAAAATGGAGAAAGGTTGTTGTAAGAGCAGCATCTGTTTGGCTACATTAACAACAGAAAGATACCTGACCCAGGTTCAACGTCAATCTCACATGCACTTGTTCTTTGCAACAGACCTTGACAGCCAATTCACCAGGTTCCTGTCACAATTTCGAGACTCAGAGGCCTTGGCCATCAAGAGTGATTTCTCAATTGTTTACTAGTGTAGCGCATAAGGTGCTCAAGGTACGGGAAGTGCTTGCTGATTAATTCTGACAGTTGCATGGCACCAGCATGGGCCTGTGGTAATTGCAATTTAAAGCAGTACATTTCTTGGGCAGCGTCCTTGCCTGAATCATGTCTCATTCCATATTCAGACATTTCAATTAAAAATCCAGACCTCTTGCCTGTGGACCTGCAGAGCAGGCAATGCAAACTATAACTTTGTCTGTCTTGATGGAATTCATTCCTGCTTTGGGTCTCTTTTATTCCATGTGAAGGGCAGATGCTAATTATCCAGCTATGATTTACTCTTGATGCCCTAAATCCTATGGTTCATTTTGTTTCACATTGATTTCTTTTTTTCCCCATTCACTCATTTATATATCTTTTCCTGCTCCTAGTATAGGATCTAAAGTGGCTTGGAAACTAAACAAAGTATAGCTAAAGCCCTGTTAATAAAGAATTACAGCACTTTTCAGCAGTTTAAAAGACGTTTACACCATATTAAAGAAGATATAACTCAACACCTCCCACTCAAAGACATGTTTATTACAAGTAGTGAACATCCAAGGGCATGTCTGATGCAAACAGGTTTTGCCTGCCGGTGGAAAGAGACCAGAGAGAAGGCCGACTGTGCTTCCCATAAGCAGGATTTCCACAACCTGATAGAAGTCATCACAAAGTCCTGTGTTCTCACCAAATATGTCTGTGACACTAATGAGGGAAAGCCCTTCACCAAAGATCTCAAAGGTCTGCCAGTCTTGTATAATTTACTTATGTATTTATAGTATTTATCTCACCCCGCAGGGGACTCTGGGCAGATTACAGTCCACATATAAATGGCAAACATTCTATGCCATTTAGAAATACAACATATATAGACAGACACAAGGTCGCATTCCAGCTTTTCCGGCTTCATGAGGGAATGTTCAATTCTGGCTACAGAGGGAGCTGCTGCTTCACCATCTACTTGTGACACCGAGTCCTTGATGGAGTACTTCCTCATTCTTACGCACTCTGCTGGTCGGGAGCTTACTTCCACCCAGGCTGGCTTTAAACTCATGACCTCTCAGTCAGTAGTGCTTTAATGCAGCTGGCTACTAATTAGCTGAGCCACAGGAAACATTGGCCAACATTCTGTATCAGCTACTGAATTACCATTTTCAGATAAGGCTATAACTGGAAGGCCAGTTGGCCACAAGACGTGGCCCACAGGCAGGCCCGTAGCCAGGATTTCGTTTCGGGGGGGGGGGGGGCTGAATTTTTTTCAGGGGGGGTTTCGGGGGCTGAGTTTCGGGGGGGGGCTGAGTCTGAGTGAAAGAGGGTCTAGCCTAGCAAACCTTTTGTATCATTACCCCAATACCCCCATGCATATGGGATATATTGAGTATGGTGATCAGATCATGATATGAATAAACATAACAGTTTAAATAATGCACCAGTAAGGCCTTTTCGCGAACCACCATGAGAATTTCGGGGGGGGGGGGGGGTGAAGCCCCCCAGCCCCCCCCGGCTACATGCCTGCCCACAGGCATGGCATACATTCACGCACAGTGACATAGTTATGCATCTATGTCTTCAGGAGGAGTCCAACTCCATCTAAGGAAGACTCTTACAGTTCCCAGACCACCATACCTGCCAGCCTACATTTAATGGGATTCAGCTTCAATTTATTGGCTTTCGACTAGCCCATTACTGCATTTGGGCACTGATTCAGTATTTGCACAGCCTCAGCTGATTCTGATGACAAGGAAAAACAGAGCTGAGCATCATCAGCATACTTATAGCACCTAACCTCCAAACTCTTAGTGACTTTACCCAGTAGCTTAATATATATGTTAAGCAGCAAAACCATTGAGTTTGAATAGAATGACACTTTGGGAAAATGGCCAACTTGGCACTCTTTTGATCCTGACCTATACACTGTCTGCTGTTGGAATATGTCTCCTAAGATGCTTGTCATGTTGGTATTTGGCAATGGAAGACACTTCCTAACAGAGAAGATGAAGGAGGCAAAGAAGCATATTCTGGCTTGAATACTATTTGTATTCCTGATTAGAGTGGATACTCAATGATTGGTTTAATAGGTTCAGTATACTTAGGCCAACTTATAGGATGCAGGCTATCACTTCCAGTTTGCAAATAAAAGACACCTCGTAACTCCAAAATATAGAGAATGAAGATGTGCCAGATTTTTGATACATCAACATGATTTGATGTATCTAAAATTTGGCAGGGGGTTGGACTGAATGGTCCATGACGTCTCTTCCAACGCTATGATTCCCTTCAAATTAACTTTGTCCTGCCAGCCAATCCCATCAGTCCAAAACAGGATGCATGCAAGATTTTGCCAAAGGAAAGTTGATTTGAATTTTGACTAGATATTGAACAGTTTACATTGATGTGTGTGTGAATGTGTGTGTGCTTGTAGATTTCCTCTCCCTTAATGCACATCCGTCATTTCTGGTTTTGGCTAGAATTAAAGACAAAAGCAAAGAACTTACTAAGTATGTAAACAGCAAGGATCCTGAAAAAGGCAAAACTTCCCTCCAGTAACATTACTAGGAAGGAAAGACAAGCCATCAGAGAACTGAATTCAGATCCGGATATCCTCGTTATGCCAGCAGACAAGGGGAATGCCACAGTTATCATGCATACAGAACAATACAAGGAGAAGATCAGAAAACTCCTGGACCCTACTATATACAAAAAACTCAAGCAAGACCCAACTGCCAAAATAACCAAGAAAACCAACACCCTGATTAAGAACTCCTCCATAAACTTTGACATACGACAACAGCTATGTAAATCGGAAGCCCATCCACCCAGGCTTTATGGACTCCCAAAAATCCATAAGGACTCCACCCCACTCAGACCCATCGTGAGTGCCATTGGATCCCCCACATACGACCTAGCAAAATTTCTTGCTGCACAGTTACAAAGCCATATTGGGCTCACTACACACTACATCAAGGACTCAGCCCACTTCATAGAAAAAATCAGCAATCTCAAGCTAAATACAAACGACAAACTGATCAGCTTCGATGTGGTATCTCTATTTACCATGGTCCCGGTAGCAGACACCATGGCACTCATCAACCAGAGGTTCCAGAAGACATCACGGCTCTGTTTCACCATTGCCTCACCACCAGTTACTTTCAGTGGGACAATGAATTCTACGAACAGAAAGATGGAGTAGCTATGGGGAGCCCTCTCAGCCCGGTCATAGCTAACTTCTACATGGAACACTTTGAAGAACAAGCCCTGGAAACAGCAACCAAAAAGCCCACGATATGGTTCAGATATGTGGATGACACCTTCACCATTTGGAGCCATGGAGAAGAAGAACTCAACAGGTTCCTGGACCAT